ATCCCAGCACTTTGGGAGGCTGAGGTGGGCAGATCACCTGCGGTCTGGAGTTCGAGACCATCCTGGCCAACATAGTGAAACCCCGCCTCTAACTAAAAACACAAAAATTAGCTGGGCATGGTAGCAAGTGCCTGTAATCCCAGCTACATGAGAGGCTGAGGCAGTAGAATTGTGTGAACCCAGGAGGTGGAGGTTGCAGTGAGCTGAAATTTCGCCACTGCACTCCAGCCTGGACAACAGAGCAAGACTCCATCTCAAAAAAAAAATAAATAAAATAAAAATAAGATACTTTCACTCCTATCTATCTGTCTTAGAGATGGGGTCTCACTCTGTTGCCAAGGCTGGTGTGCAGTGGCACGATCATGGCTCACTGAACCCTCAAACTCCTGGACTCAGGTGATCCTCTCACCTCAGCCTTCTGAGTAGCTGGGACAACAGGTGCACACCACCATGCCTGACAAATTAAAAACACTTCTTTTTCTAAAGATGGTGTGTCACTGTGTTGCCCAGGCTTGCTTCTGTTTCAACCAAGCCTCCTGATACTGGTCAGCAGGCATTCACAGTGGATGCTACACTGTCACCCTGACCCTCTCCTTTCCAAGACGGAAGCTTTCGCACCCCCAGCCAACAGCTGGCAGTTTCCTCCACCCTCCACCGCTGCCAACTGTCCTTCCAGAGGAGAGCCACCTCACCCAAGGTCACGCCCACTCCCTAGAGGCAGCTCACAGTCCCTAACCAGTCCCTCCCCTCAATGCAGGACAACTCTGAAGGTCCTTGCAGACTAGGACGCCTCTCCATTGCAGGTACAGGCAGCCCAGCTTTTCCCTGTGCCCCCTTCTCTTTCCTCTCCCACACCGGTGTGTGTCCCGAGGGCACTCCCAGCAAACCTGCTGCACACAAACCTCAGTCTCCTGGGGGAACACGTCCTGCAACAACTCATTAGGTACCAGGCACAGTTCTAAGCACTTTACACATACATTTCTTTCTTTCTTTTTTTTTTTCCGAGATAAAGTGCTCACCCAGTTGCCAGACTGGGGTGCAGTAGCGCGATCTTGGCTCACTGCAACCTCTACCTCCTGGGTTCAAGCGATTCTCCTGTCTCAGCCTCCCAAGTAGCTGGGGTTGTAAGGCAACTGCCACCATGCCGGGCTAATTTTTGGGTTTTTAGTAGAAACAGGGTTTCACCATGTTGGCCAGGATGGGGAGGCAGGCATTTTTGTTACCAACGGCTTTGTAACTTGCCCAAGATCGCAGAGCTAGTAAGCCGGAGAGCCAGGGTCGTTATGCAGGGAGTTGGGCTCTGGGGTTCTGAAGTGTTAGAACACTATCTTCCAGAACATTCCTGAGGTCTAGCTTGAGGAAATTAGACAGAGGAAACAGTGAAGATGTATTCTGATTTGAGGGGGAAAAAAGTCTCTGCTGCCTCCAGTTTTCTAGGAGTCCCTTTTTAGTTTCTGAACATGCAGCCCCTTGTGTCTTAGTTTACTTCAGTGGTTCTTGTCCAGGGGTGATTTTGCTTCCCAGAGGATATTTGGCAATATCTGGAAGATCTGGAGGCATTTTTTGGTTGACATCCTAGGGGGATAGTAAGGGTATTTAGTAGGTAGAGGCCAAGGATGCTACTAAATGTCCTACAATGTACGGGACAGTCTCCCACAACAAATCTAGCTACATGTCAGTGGTATTGAGGTTGAGAAACCCTGTGCTCTAGCTGGAAGCTGTCTCCTGGCTGATTTTACCCTGAAGGAGTCCCAGGATGATGACTATTTGGGAGTAGACTTTGATCAAGGTGGTGAGAGGTACTTGAGCATGGGAGTGTCCATGAAGGACAAATATTATCCCAACTTAGTTCAAGGGAAGACTGCACAAAGCTTCTGGTTAATACCAGTGGCTGAGCTGTGAAGGCACCCCTTTTCCTCGACCAGGAAGTTCCTGTGGTTATGTGGTGGACCAGGCATTTTCCTGTCCTCCTCCCAACTCCCCTTTAAACATGTACACTGATGGCCGGGCACAGTGGCTTACGTCTGTAATCCCAGCACTACGGGAGGCCTAGGTGGGCGGATCATCTGAGGTCAGGAGTTTAAGACCAGCCTGACCAACATGGAGAATCCCCATCTCTACTAAAAATACAAAATTAGCCAGGCGTGGCAGTGCATGCCTGTAATCCCAGCTACTCGGGAGCCTGAGGCAGAAGAATCGCTTGAACCCAGAGGCAGAGGTTAAGGTGAGCCGAGATCATGCCATTGCACTCCAGCCTGGGTAACAAAGAGCAAAACTCCATTGAAAAAAAAAACAGAAAAACAAAAAAACACAACCCACCAGTTGGGATCAAGCTGTCTGGGGAGGTAGGGAACTGCAACCCAGCCCGGGGTAATAGACATGACATCCTCAAACCTCACTATCTATCCTGAGGACTTCTAGCCCTCCCCCGAATGCCACTTATGGAGCCAGCTACCGACTCAGTGTTTGCACTTAACTGCCTAATGGCATCTCACACTTAACAGGTACACAATTGAGCAGCTGAGTCCCACCTGGCCGCCCACCCCCAGAGCCTTCTCCACCTCAGGGTCTGGAGCCGCATTCTTCCCTGACCACTCTTCACACCCCACTTCCAATCCCTTGGCAAATCTTGTCAGTTTGACTTTAAGATGCCCCCACCATTTCTGACTTTCTATTTTTTTTTTTTTTTTTTTTCTTTTTTTCAGACAGGGTCTTACCCTGTCACCCAGGTTGGAGTGCAGTGATACAATCATAGCTCACTGCGGCCTTGACCTCTGGGCACAAGTGATCCTCCCACCTCAGCCTCCCAAGTAGCTGGTACCAGAGGTACACACCACCACGCCTGGCTAACTTTTTCTATTGTTAATTTTTTGTAGAGATGGGGTCTCCCTATGTTGCCCAGGGTGGTCTTGGAATCCTGGGTTCAAGTGATCCTCCCATGTTGGTCTCCCAAACTACTGGGATTACAGGTGTGAGCCTCACACCTGGCCTCTGATCATCTCTTACCTCCTCAACTGCCACACACTTGGTCCAAGCCACTATCATTTTTTTGCCTTCTGCCTGGTTTTCCTGCTGCCACATTTATGATGGAAGTCAATTCTCAATACAGCGTCCAGGATGAGCCTGTTAAACCTAAGTCAGGTGATCTCACTCCTCTGCTTGGCCGACCCCCTCACGGTAAACACTCAAATCATTAGGATGTCTGCAAGACCCCATGTGCTCCAACCCTCCCTCACTCCTGCCCCCTACGGCTCCATGCCGGCCACACTGAACTCCTTCAATACACTAAGCCCACTCTCGCCTCAGGGCCTGTGCACCGGCTATTCCTGTGCCACCCAATGCTCTTTTCCATTAGTCTCAATTCAAATGTCTCCTTCTTGGAGAGGACAGGCCTTCCGTAATCACTCCATTGAAGAGCCATACCCCAGGCTGGGCACGGTGGCTCATGCCTGTAATCCCAGCACTTTGGGAGATTGAGGTGGGTGGATGGCTTCAAGCCAGGAGTTTGAAACCAGCCTGGGCAACTTGGTGAAACCCCATCTCTACTAAAAATACAAAAATTAGCAGGGCAAGGTGGTGTGCAGCTATAGTCCCAGCTACTCAGGACACTGAGGTGGGAGGATTGATTGACTGAGCCCTGGCAATTGAGTGAGCTTAGATCATGCCACTGCACTCCAGCCTAGGTAACAAGAGTGAGACCCTGTCTCTAAACAAATAAATTAATAAAGAGCAATACCCTTCCTCCTCCACACTCTCTATTCTCATTACCCGGCTTAAATTTTTCCCCAGCTATTATTGCCCTTTTATGTACATTTAGTTGTTTATACTGGCCCGCTTCCTCCTCTCGTCCAAATTGACTTATTACTGTCCATTTTCCACTCCTTCTGCTTTTTAATATCATAGGTTGTTGTTATTTACTGTTTTTGTTATAAACTGCTTCTAATCCTTTATGGAATAAAAAGATACATAAAAAAGGAACCAGATCATTATCACCTGGCTTAAGGCAGAACTGTTAATTAGACCAGTGCTTCTTTTTCCTCCAGGATTGCCAAACAAATAAGCAAAAAGGAGCAAACAGACATGCCTTCCCACTCCCTTGAGCCTTAGGAGAGAAGCCTGAGGCTGCCACTAAAAAAGCCACATGTTCTTGAGACTTTACCTTCCGTGAGCATTCTACACTGTATTTCCTAATACATTTACATGGTTTCAATTATAAAACTTCTCAAAGTTTTCCCCGTAAAAATAACCCCACCAAAAATGTGCTCCATGTAAAATGCTACTGATGTGGGGGTCCTGGGGCTTCCTGTCCACCCTCGCCTCAGGGACCTTCAGAACCCAGGGTTGGGAGTTGGCGGAGAGAGACTGGGAATGACATTTCCTTTGGGCAAGTGAATTGGCTGGAGCTGGGTAGGGCATCACCAGAGTTTTGAGTTCTAGTCCCAGCTCTGGCACCTACAGCCTTGGGCGGGTCCCCCCACTGTAATTTGGCCTGAGTGTCCTGAAAGGTTTGGGGTTTTTTGTTGTTGTTTTGTTTTGTTTTTGGTTTCGCTCTGTCTCCAAGGCTGGAGTGCAGTGGTGCCATCTCTGCTCACTGCAACTTCCGCCTCCCCAGTTCAAGAGATTCTCCTGCCTCAACTTCCCAAGTAGCTGGGATTACAGGTTACTGCCATCACACCTGGCTAATTTTTGTATTTTTAGTAGAGATGGGGTTTCGCCATGTTGGCCAGGATGGTCTCGATCTCCTGACCTCGTGATCCATCCACCTCCACCTCCCAAAGTGCTGGGATTACAGGTGTGAGCAACTGTGCCCGGCCCGGGTTTGGGTTTTTAAGCTTAGTTCCCACCAGGCTGAATGTAACCATGGGCCTTAACTTCTGAACATGCTCTGATGGAAGAAGAAGGAAGATGGTGGTGAGAGCAGGGCTGGGGCTGGGACGGCTGGTGGGTGCTCTGGCAGGGCATGGGCTAAGGCAGGGAGGCCTCAGAGGGGTGGTGCTCCTGGGAGGACCCACAGCTGGGGCCTGTTCAGGCTTGGCTCTCTTCTATGCTGTAGAAAACTCTGCAGTGAAGGAGGCTGGAAAGCCCAAGCTATTTCTGGGGCTGGGCTTTCCTGAAGGTGGGGAGGGTGCCCATCCAATCTTCCAAAAGAGGGCAGAGCTACCAACTCATCAGTGCCAACATCTAAACCACAAGCCAAGAACACAGCCCTCCTAGGTCACCCTGTCCTCTCCCTTCCCACTCAGGCACCTCTGAGCCACAGTGCAGAGGCGACATTTCTCATCCCTGCATGTCACTTCCAGCCTCAGGAGGTGCCCTTGGTCCAGAGCCCAGCCCCTGCCTACCCATCAAGTGACCACATCTCTGGGGAAGGAGGCAGCTCACCTGGGAAGAATGTCAATTCTTCCATAAGGATCACACTTGTCATCTCTAATACCACATCTCTCCATGACACCTTTGGGGCATAATGACCCCGCTTTATCGATGAGGAAGGTGAGACTCAGAGCAATTTGGTCACTTGCAGCTCACGGAGCTGTTGGGTATGGGCTGGCCACAGACCTTCCAGGCATCTTTCCTCCCTGTCACTGTGCTCAGCGTTTAGGGGTGGGAAAGAGGGTAAGAATCTCAGGGCAGTGAAAAGAAAACCAGGAAGCCGGGCGCGGTGGCTCAAGCCTGTAATCCCAGCACTTTGGGAGGCCGAGGCGGGTGGATCACGAGGTCAAGAGATCAAGACCATCCTGGTCAACATGGTGAAACCCCGTCTCTACTAAAAATACAAAACATTAGCTGGGCATGGTGGCACGCGCCTGTAATCCCAGCTACCCAGGAGGCTGAGGCAGGAGAATTGCCTGAACCCAGGAGGCAGAGGTTGCGGTGAGCCGAGATCGCGCCATTGCACTCCAGCCTGGGTAACAAAGAGCAAAACTCCCTCAAAAAAAAAAAAAAGAAAACCAGGAAAACTTAACCAAGGATATAGAACATGCATTTCATAAGCCACCCCGGTGTCATAACGAAATAATACATAGCTGTGTGCTTATATATTCCTAGAATAGCTTTGAAGGAGCATACATGAGGCCAGCAATAGCAGCTGTTCCTGGAGTGGGCAATGTGGTGACTGAAGAAATAGAATGAGAAGGAATAAAGTGTAGTTCTTTTTGTTTCTTTGTTTTTGAGACAGAGTTTCACTCTTGTTGCCCAGGCTGGAGTGCAATGGTGTGACCTCGGCTCACTGCAACCTCCGCCTCCCAGGTTGAAGCGATTCTCCTGCCTCAGCCTCCTGAGTAGCTGGGATTACAGGCATGTACCACCACCCCCTGCTAATTTTGTATTTTTAGTAGAGAGGGGTTTCTCCATGTTGGTCAGTCTGGTCTTGAACTCCCAACCTCAGGTGATCTGCCAGCCTTGGCCTCCCAAAGTGCTGGGATTACAAGCATGAGCCACTGCGCCCCGCTGAAAGTGTAGTTTTTACTGTTTTACTCTTTTGTACCTTTTGAGTTTTGTGCTGAGTCCATTTATTATGAGTTAATATGAAGTATTTAAATTAGTACCCAGCACATAGTAAGTGCTATGCAAATGAAAGCTATTATTATTTAAAAATCATGTAAAATTATTTTGACGGGAGACCAGGAGAGGGGAATGGGTGAGGCACTGCGCAGGGTTTTGGGTTGGAGCTTGCTGTATGGCCAGGCCCTGAAAGGAGAAGCAGGGTTCCTGGGCACCTCCAAGAACTCAGGAGGGATAGGGATACAGCCCTCCTTCAGACAAGCTGAGGACATACTCCCTAATAAGACCCCAGAGTTCCAGAGCATTCTGTGAAGCCAGTGGAAGGCTTCAGGGGAGTCCACGAGATATGGCGCACTCAGGCTCTCTACGGAGGAATCTGAGAGGAGGGACAGAGTATTTCAGAGGGCATGGCAGAACTCACCCTGGGCTCCTTGAGGACAAGGTCTACATCCTCTGGGTTGGCTGAATGACCTTCCCGATGGCTGCGCCTGGCCTGTCACCTGGGCAATCTGACAAGCTTGTGGGGTAGCACCTGCACCAGCAAGGGTTGGAAGGAGCACAGAGCTTGGGTTTGCTTCTGTGTGTGTCTTTTGTTTGTTTCACTCTTGTGGCCCAGGCTGGAATGCAATGGCACGATCTCGGCTCACCACAACCTCTGCCTCCCGAGTTCAAGCGATGCTCCTGCCTCAGCCTCCCGAGTAGCTGGGATTACAGGCATGTGCCAACACGCTCAGCTAATTTTGTGTTTTTAGTAGAGACGGGGTTTCTCCATGTTGGTCAGGCTGGTCTCGAACTCCCAACCTCAGGTGATCCGCCCGCCTTGGCCTCCCAAAGTGCTGGGATTACAGGCGTGAGCCACCGTACATGGCCTGTGTGTGTCTTCCTCAACCTTTGTAGCTGCTCTTCTGCTGACCAAGCTCCTTGGGGAGCACTTGGTAGCTTAGGACAGAGTCTCACAATTCTCTGGAATGTATCCGGCCTGAGGAACGTAGGGTGAAAAAACTGCTTTGCTCACTCTATTTGGATTGCCAGGAGAGGATGGTGGAAGAGGGGGCAGCTTCTGGCACTGGAGAGAGGGTGCCGCAGATCGGGGAGTGGCTTGTGATGATTTATGCGGTTTGCTTCTCCCCAGGAGAACTCCTAGACAGAGTTCCTGAAGGAGTTACTCACTTCACACGTGAGCACCCCTGCAAGACAGGGGTGGGAAAGGGGAAGAATCTCAGGGGAGCGAAAGGAAAAGCCACCCTGGAGGCACGGGAGAGAAAACCAAAGCCGAGTTCTCTTCAGGAGAGCTTCCTGGCTCCCTCCTCAGCCGGGCTTACCAATAAGGACACCGTATTTCAAAATCGCACCGTGGAAAAGCTGGCCTCAGTCATCATAACAGAAATTCAAACTAAGGCTATTCCAAAATAGCATTTTTTACTTATCAGATTGGCAAGAGAGGAAAACACATGGTGTTGGCGAGGATGTGGGGAAATGGGCTCTGTTTTTCTGGAGGAAGGTAACACTGGCACAACCTCTACGGAGAGCATTTGGCAATGGCTGCCATCCTAGTTGGCTCTAACAAAGTACTAGAAACCAGGTGGCTTATGAACAACGGAAATTTATTTCTCTTTGTTTTTTTTTTTTTTTTTAGAGACGGGGTCTCACTATGTCGCCTAGGCTAGAGTGCAGTGGCTATTCACAGGTGCCATCCCACTACTGATCACGGGAGTTTTGACTTGCTCCATTTCTGAGCTGGGCCGATTCGTCCCTCCTTAGGCAACCTGGTGGTCCATATTGAGGCTGAACTTAGTGCAGACACCCGATCCGCATAGCACACTACAGCCCAGAACTCCTGGGCTCAAGCGATCCTTCCACCTCAGCCTCCCGAGTGGCTGAGACTACAGGCATGTGCCACCACGCTGGCAGAAATTTATTTCTCACAGTGCTGGGAAGCCCAGGATCAAGGCAGATTCATCATCTGGTGAGGGCCTGTTCTCTAGCTTACAGAAGGCGCCTTCTCACCATGTCCTCATATGGTGGAAGGGCAAGCAGCCCTCTGGGGTCTCGTAAACTAATTTTTTTTTTCTTTTTTTTTTTTCTTTTTTTTTTTTGAGACGGAGTTTCACTCATGTTACCCAGGCTGGAGTGCAATGGCGCGATCTCGGCTCACCGCAACCTCCGCCTCCTGGGTTCAGGCAATTCTCCTGCCTCAGCCTCCTGAGTAGCTGGGATTACAGGCACGCACCACCATGCCCAGCTAATTTTTTGTATTTTTAGTAGAGACGGGGTTTCACCATGTTGACCAGGATGGTCTCGATCTCTTGACCTCGTGATCCACCCGCCTTGGCCTCCCAAAGTGCTGGGATTACAGGCTTGAGCCACCGCGCCCGGCCTCGTAAACTAATTATTATCATTTTTGTATTTTAGTAGAGACAGGGTTTCACCATGTTGGCCAGCCTGGTCCTGCACTGCTGACCTCAGGTGATCCATCAGCCTCAGCCTCCCAAAGTGCTGGGATTATAGGCGTGAGCCACCATGCCAGGCCCATTTTTAATTTTTGTGGAGATTAGGGGTCTCACCATGTTACCCAGGCTGGTCTCAAACTCCTAAACTCAAGTGATCCTCCTGCCTCAGCCTCCCAAATCATTGGGATTGCAGGTGTGAGCCACCGTGGCTGGCCTAGAGGCACTAATCCCATTCACAAAGGCTCTACCCTCATGACCTAATTACCTCCTTAGAGGCCCACCTTCTAACATTATCACCTCGGGGATTTTCATATAAATGTTGGGGGGACACAAACATTTAGGCCATAGCAACTACAAACACAGGCTGGGAATTCTCCTTCTACAAAGTTGCCCTGCAGATATCCCAACAAAGAAGCATCCTATCAGCCAGCATTGTTTGCTGGAAATAGTCTCAATTTCTCTAAATAGAAAACTGGTCATAAGTTAAGACATACAATGGAACACTCTGCAGCCACCAAAACAAATGAAGTTCTTTCCATATCAGGAGTGACCTCCAAGAGATAGGAAGTGGGGAAAGAAGCAAGTGCGGAAGAGCGTGCGCAGTATTCATGTAAAAACACAGAAAATGTGTCTGTATTTGCTGGATATGCACAGACCACCTCGAGAGGATGCTTCAGAAACTGGTATCACCGGTTGCATATTTCGAGGGGACGTGGATTCTCAGAACAGCCTTGCTCTTTATGGGAGTCTCCATCTCCTTTAGGCTGGAGAAAGGCAATACCTCCTCCACTCATCCAAGAAAAGAGCTCACTCTGTTGCTCTCCAGATGCGATGGGTAGACACATGGTGAGGAGAGAGCAGGGTCATGCCATGTAGTGGCTTGGTGACCTCACACAAGTTACTTAGCTTCTAAGCCTCCGTTTCCTCTTCTGTTAAACAGCAAAAATAATACTACTATTAATAAATAAGGCCAGGCACAGTAGCTCAAGCCTGTAATCCCGGCACTTTGGGAGGCCAAGGTGGGTGGATCACCTGAGGCCAGGAGTTCGAGACCAGCCTGGCCAGCATGGTGAAACCCCATCAGTACTAAAAATACAAAAATCAGCAGGATGCAGTGGCATGTGCCTGTAATCCCAGCTACTTGGGAGGCTGAGGAAGGAGAATCACTTGAACCCGGGAGGCGGAGGTTGTGGTGAGCTGAGATCCTACCACTGCACTCCAGCCTGGGTGACAGGGCAAGACTCCATCCCAAAAAACAATAAATTAAATAAATAAGTTGATTTATGTGTAAATGGGGATAATCATTTTCCCTACCTCACTAGGATATCATGAGGATGAACCTTTAATCTCTGTGAAGTGCTTAGCACTGTGCCTGGCGTATAGGAAGTGCTCAGCAAATGAATTTGTTCCACATACATCATATTATCTCCTCTGCGCTTCTTACCCCTATGGGATCAAAATGGAAACTCCTCGGTGAGACCAACGTGGTCTATTTTCAACCTTCACTGCCACACTCAGCCCTTGCCACTCCCTTGTATCTTGTGTCCTGTGTTCACTCTACCTAGAATGTCCTTCCTTCCTTTGCTTGACTTGGTCAAAGTCCAGCTTAAATGTCACCGTCCCTGGGATGATCCTCCTGAAGCCCCAGCCCAGAAAGAGTTTGTGCTCCCTTCTCTGTGATGGCAGAGTCCCTGGATGCTCCTCTGTCGGGCATCATCACACAGAACAGTGACTATGTTCCTGGTTCCAGCCGATACACACACACTTGTTTTTTACAACAGAAGGAATCGGGAAAACAAACAAACAAAAAAAACCATTCAACTCAAATAAAACTGCAATGAGACTAGCAACGTTCAAGAAGTTCTACACTGAGGTGGCAAGAAGACAGCACTCATGCAGGAATGCCAACTGGCACACATTTGAGACCTGGGTGACATCTGTCCACATTCAGTGGACACCCATAACAAAAGGGCACAGGCAGAAAGCTGCTCGTTGTATCAATGCTTGAAAGAACAGAGGGCTGGAAACTACCTAAACGCCCATCAGCTGAGGACTGGGAAATCCGTAATGGTCGGAGTATACAGCAACCTAGCAGCCACGGAACAGAGTCGCTCTTTGTTACTAACATGGAACACCACCAAAAAATACACAGAGAAGTAGAAAAAAAAAAGTACGGGTAGTTTCTATAGTCTTTGCCATTGTGGAAAACAGGGAGAAAATGCATACAAGTATTGTATTTGATGCACAGAATATTTCTGGAAGAACACATGAGGTCATATTAACAGTAACACAGTAGCAGCTGCCAGGAATGAGGTCTGAGCTTCTGGGAAACAGGGGAGGAGGAAGGTATTTTGTTATCATTTATATCTTTTTCTCTTTTGAATTTTATGCTGTAGACATATATTATCTGTTCAAAATTAAATAGCTTTTTAATAAAGAAAAAAAAGAAAAGCTAGTAATCAAATGAAGATAAGGTAACCCACAAGCTCCAAGAGGAGGAAAAATACCTTGAATTTGTTTCCAGGAGCGCGAGGGTCCATGGCAAAGCTTTACTCTGGGCCAGCTGCACCCCCACTTGCACCTGGGCACTGGCAGTTGATGTTGGGAGAATTAAGAACGTTTTTCAGTATGTGCCTGAGTAAGACAGAAGAATGAGAAACTCACTATCAATAGCTGAGGAAAACTCGTAAATGAATGCATAACAAAGTTCAAAAGAAACAGAATGTGTGCCAGCCTGGCCAACGTGATGGAACCCCGTCTCTACTAAAAATACAAAAATTAGCCGGGCGGGGTGGCGGGAGCCTGTCATCCCAGCTTCTCAGGAAGCTGAGGCAGGAGAATCTCTTGAACTGGGGAGATGGAGGTTGCAGTGAGGTGAGACCGCACTATTGCACTCCAGCCTAGGTGACAGAGCGAGACTATCTCAAAAAAAAAAAAAAAGAAAAAAGAAATAGAATGTGTGGCCCCAGGGCTCGCTCTTTATGGCAAAAACTGACAAGGCTCAGAGGGTTCTTCTTGTACCCACAAAGCTTCCTCTAAGAGCCTCTGAAGCCCCTCACCATTGATTTATTATTTATTTAACATATGAATTTATGTACAATATATAATTTTAATCCTAGTATATACATTATTTTTGCATCCTGATATTTTCATTTAATATATAATTGACATTTTTCCATTTCATTAAGTACTCTTCCAAAACATAATTTTTAATGGTTCCACATTATTGAAACTTACGGATATATAATAGTTTATTAATAATTTTCCATTGCTGGGGGCTGGGCATGGTAGCTGACACTTGTAATCCCAGCACTTTGGGAGGCCAAGGTGAGTGGATCACTTGGGGTCAGGAGTTCAAGACCAGTCTAGCCAACATGGCGAAACCCCGTCTCTACTAAAAATACAAAAATTTGCTGAGTGTGGTGGCGGGCACCTGTAATACCAGTTACTCAGGAGGCTGAGGCAGGAGAATCGCTTGAACCCGGGAGACGGGGGTTGCAGTGAGCTGAGGTTGTCCCACTGCATTCCAGCCTGGGTGACAGAGCAAGACTCCATCTCAAAAAAACAAAACGAAACAAAACAACAAACCCAAAAAACAAATAATTCTCCATTGCTGGACATTTAGCTACTTTCTAGGCTTTTGCTATTATAAATAAAGCTATGATGCACATCTTTGCATATCAATCTTGCTTTTTACAAATTTTATTTTAGATATGGGGGATACATGTGCAGGCTGGCTACATGGGCATATTACACCCAGGTAGTGAGCATAGTACCTAATAGGTAGGTTTTCAGCCGAGGCCCTCCCTCCCTTTTGCTTAGGATTACAGCCTCTGGTTCCATCCATGTTGCTGTCAAGGACATGATTCCAATCTTGTTTACAGCTGTGCACTGATCGTCTATTTAAAAGCCTCTGAAGATCATCAAGAACTCTCTGGGTAAAGGAGCTGAGGCGGGGCCTTTTCCAACCCTGGACCCCAGATGACCATGATAAGAAAAGCCTCCCAGAGAAACCTACAGGAGGACCTACTAGTTCCAGGGACCCGTTCCTGGGACACCGCTGATTCAGAGCTGGCATCCCCAAACTGACCCTGCCTAGGGGAAGGGACAACCTGAGGGCCAATGCCGCCAAGGAAGCCTCTGCTGCCTTTACAAGGGAGAAGGCTGGTTTCAGCCTACACCACACCAGCCTCAAAAGAGACGTTACAAGAGGGACTCGGGAGCCTCAGGAGCTGTGCTGGGGTACCCCAGACGCCCCAGTTCAGTGGCTGAGTTCTCGAAGGCTGGGTGAGACAACACCCCCTTAACCTCCCTCCCATCTTCCCTAGGCCATCTCGGCCCTCCTCCCTCCCATCTTCCCTAGGCCATCTCGGCCCTCCTCCC